GTCTCCTCCTGCGTCCTCTCTACCTACTCTTCCTGACCCGGAGTCTGACTCCCGTCGTGCTGCCAGTCCCACTGTCACCCGTCTCCTCGCTACTGTTGTCACTGACCCTACCTTTGAGTCCTCTGCTGCGTCTGCTCTGGTCGCTGAGTTGGTTGACTTTGCTGCCCGGTGTCGTCTAGACTACGCCGCTAGCCTTGTTGCTGAGTCTGAGTCTGTCTGTCCTCCGTCCGTCGGGGGTGAGTGTGCTCTTGGCACGGACGTCCTTGAGGACAGACAGGAGGAGTTCCAGTGCTTTGCTGCTGCTTTGCCCCATCTCGTGTCCATGCTAGTTGCCCCTGAGGGAGACCCGGATGCACCAGACATCCCGACCCCGCGCTCTTACGCAGAGGCGATAGAGGGTCCCTACTCCTCTCAGTGGCAGACAGCTATGGACGCAGAGATGGCTTCCTGAAAGTCCACAGGCACCTACATCGACGAGGTTCCCCCACCTGGGGCGAACATCGTCAGTGGCATGTGGATTTTCAGGGTGAAGCGGCCGCCGGGTTCTCCTCCTGTCTTCAAGGCGCGCTACGTTGCTCGAGGCTTCAGTCAGCGAGAGGGAGTAGACTTTTTCAGGACCTTCTCCCCCACCCCGAAGATGACTACTCTTCGGGTGCTGCTGCACATAGCCGCTCAGCGCGACTACGAGCTTCACTCACTTGACTTCAGCACAGCTTTCTTGCAGGGCAGCCTGCACGAGGAGATCTGGCTGCGCCGCCCTCCTGGCTTCACTGGGTCGGTTCCTCCTGGCACCCAGTGGAGGCTCCAGCGACCGGTCTACGGTCTCCGCCAGGCGCCGCGTGAGTGGCACGACACATTGAGGACTACACTTGCGGCTCTTGGGTTCGCTCCTTCTACTGCTGACCCGTCGCTGTTTCTACGCACCGACACCTCGCTGCCGCCGTTCTACATCCTCGTGTACGTCGACGACTTGGTCTTTGCCACTGCTGACACTGCGGCACTCGCCCACGTGAAGTCGGAACTGCAGAAGAGACACACGTGCACAGACCTGGGTGAACTGACAAGCTATCTTGGCTTGCGGATCACCCGGGACAGAGCACGGCGCACCATTACCTTGACTCAGTCACACATGGTGCAGCAGATCCTTCAGCGCTTCCGCTTCACGTACTCCTCGCCACAGTCCACTCCTCTGCCTACAGGTCACTCGCTCTCAGCTCTGCCTTCGGATGAGTCCGTAGAGCCGAGTGGCCCGTATCCAGAGCTTGTGGGCTGCCTCATGTACCTGATGACCTGCACTCGACCTGACCTTGCATACCCTCTTAGCATCCTTGCACGCTATGTCGCTCCTGGCCGTCACAGGAAGGAGCACATGGATGCTGCTAAGAGGGTGTTGCGCTACTTGTGCAGTACGTCGGGCATGGGGCTAGTGCTTGGAGGGCGAGACCGAGTTGTACTCACTGGTCACTCAGACGCTTCTTGGGCCGACGACCAGGCTACTCAGCGGTCGTCTCAGGGTTACACCTTCAGCCTTGGCTCCGGCTCAGTTTCTTGGCGTTCTACACGCTCTTCTTCTGTTCTCAGCTCCAGTTGTGAGGCTGAGATCTACGCCACAGCCATGGCGGCCCAGGAGCTACGCTGGCTGACCTACCTGCTGACCGACTTGGGAGAGCGGCCTCGTTCTCCTCCAGTGCTGTACGTCGACAACAAGGCTGCCATTGCCTTGTGTGAGGAGCACAGACTGGAGCACAGAACGAAGCACATCGCCCTGCGGTACTTCCTTGCTCGAGAGCTGCAGCAGCGCGGTCAGCTTTGTCTGCGTTACGTGGCCACTGAGGCCAACACTGCTGATGTGTTCACCAAGGCGCTTCAGCCTTGTGACCATCAGCGCTTCTGTACTCTTCTAGGCCTTGTGCCTGCTGGACCTCACTTGCTTACTTCTTGACTCTGTTTGTACTGTGATCTCTATATATATACCTGCATGCTTACACTTGCTAGGTTGCGATCACTGTATCTCTTGCTATATTATCAAACTGCATGTGAACTGGTCTTGTGACCGCTTGCTTGTGCTCAGAATTTGTGTGGTATCCTTGAGATCCACCCTGAGCCTGTTTTGCTTTGCTTTGCTTTGACTGGTCTTGTGACCCTCTGGTTGTCACCCACTTTGCCTATGGGGGTGTGTCAAACATTGTATGTTTATATTGTGTAGGCTATAGTGGGTTTAGCCTTAGAGGGTACACAAACTTAGGGTTTCATACTTGTACCCACCTTCCTGCTAGTTCATCCATTCTCGTTCTATTCTAGATTCTGACAGCCATGTCAAACCAACGATGATGTGTGAGAAAATGGGGAAAACGTATGATGATTTGCTAGGGTGTTTTCAACGTCTATTTGCTGTGTTTCTTTATGATGACTTAGATGTTTTCCACCCCCAACAAACGTTAACATGGTGTCCTAGTGCTTCCATGGGTTTGAACCTTTGGGTTTTGGTCAATTAGATGATTTTTACATCGATTACAAGTACGGTCGGTTTGTGGAAGGTAGCATATATATTTGATTGTGGTTTTCAATGTTTTGTTGTTTTGGAATCGTGTGCCTTACACCTGGATTGCCTCCTTGCATTGTGCTTTGTGGTGTGGGGTTTGGGGAAATGGTATGTGTTTAGTTAGGCCTGCTTGCAATCTTGGTTGTTTAAAGTTAACACATTATTGTGCTAGGTGTAGTTTGTAGTAGCGCATTGAATGGGGTGGTCATTTTCGAGAGTGGAGGTAAGATTCGCGTGAATTCCCCGAAATGGAACTGCTTGTTCGGCGCATACGAGGTACATTTTCGACGAGCCCGATGCAGCGAAATTAGTAGCCCAATTTCGAGTTGAATAATAGAGATCGGGCGACTGAATTTGGGCAAATTTCGAAATCGACCGTCCTTGCATGGACTCGAATTCGAAATCACTGACCTCCACGTGGCGGCTCAGGATAACTCTCGAAATTGGCATGGGGGAGATGGTTATTGGTCGGATTCTGTCGTTGTCAGATTTTCAGAGTGCAGCACAAGATTGAGATTGTCCCGATACGAGGGCTTTAGATCGCGAGTCAGTATGGGTTTCATGGCCTGGGGTGGCACTGCCATTGATAAATGCAACCTTTTTTGTCGCCACAACCATACAGGGTCGAATGTTTGAACACGACCTTAAAGTCCAGGCTCAGGATGGTGTTGGGCGGGTATAAATGCCCAACGGAGGTCATTTTCTCATTTTACATCTTCTCCTTCAGTTTTTGTCCAACTTCTTCCTTAGATCCCAGCCTCCCAGCTTCCACCACTTCGTCAATGGAGCCTTCGATGGAAGTAGAGGCTGCTGGCTTGCGTGTGCGCCTCTCTCGTTTAGAGTTCGAGAACATGCGATTCAAGCGTGGGGAATGGACCGAGAATATGCTCAACTTTGCTATGGTGTAAGATGCCCTTGTAGTTTTGTTTCTCGGATAGATGTGTGACGTTTCGAGATTTACGTTCTCTGTCACGTGTAGAGTACTAGTAGCGATCTAGCAAATAACGCTCTCGCCGCTCTAACGTTTAAACCATCTTCCGAGTACTAGTCTCCTCTATTCTACTGCCCAAAGTAAGCGATCTCTATTTCGAGAGATATTTTCGCGAAGACGGATGTGTTGTGTAGCGCTGGTCTGATCTCTGAAAGCTCCTTGTGTTGTCTCTTGCAGGAAGATTGCAAAGGAGAGGCTGACCGCGGACCAGCTGTCGAAAGTCGAAATCATCCCCATGAGTGCAGTCAACGCGGCCCGGGCGAAACAACCGTACGAACCCATGGGTCCTGGCAGACTCGATGGTGTGCTTGGCAAGCAACTCGTAGTCTTTCCGCTGTGGTCAAGGTGAGTTCGAATTGTAGAGGTTCCGGTACCAATCTTTATTTCTCTGAAAATACAACGGCTGTTCGATTTTTCGAGCTTTTATGCGCTTGCTAACCTTTCCCCCCACCGCCCCATGCAGCATGACTGTCGAGCCTGGAGCGCGCTGTAGCCTTTTCATGCTTGTTCGGCCCGACAGTTTGGCCGACCACCCGAATATTCTGGTTGCGACACGTCTTCTGCATTTCGACCCCAAGTCGAATTCTCCAGCACACAAGCACACCGACCTCGCCCTTCAAATGGTCAAGTAAGGTTTAACTATTGTCGCTCGTCACATGTGCAAATGACGGTACGGCAGAGCATAGCCTAATTTTGTCGGAAATTCACATGCCGAGCAGATGGCTGGAGGTGCAGCTCTTGACGGAATATTCTAGAGGAGAAGCACTCACTCCAAACTCGGAGGAGCAGGAAACTTTCCGCGACATCAGGAGACGGATTATGAGCTGGTGGAGGCTCGACATAGCGGGAGTAAGTTTACAATGCAAACTCGGAATTCAGCTCGGACCTCTAAGCAGGACAAGCCCTGACCAGCTCCCTTTCATTTTCATGCAGAAGCTAACTCCAATGGTCAGCTCGAGGGAGGTCGGGAGCGGTTCTCATGTAGCGTGCCAGTGGCGTAAGGTGCTCGATCATTTTGACTCGATTCTCTTACAGCATGATCGAGATGATAAATTTAGGGTTCTTGGAAAACCACCCTACCGGTGAGAGGATATATTCAAGGACATAGTGACCAGCTGCAAAAAGTATTTCGACAAGCTGGCGGCAGGTGATGAGGAGGATGCGGGAGAGGTGGACCTGGAACCCGTTGGGGACGCTGCTGAGGACACGGGTGCCCCGCTCGTTATTGACGCCGAAATAGTCGCGTTGGGGGCAATGGTTGCTGACGGCGCACGAATGGGTCTGGCCAATGAGTGTCAGAGCGTAACGGATGGGGAGGGTCAGATGATGGACAGAGAGGAACCACCTTTTCAGAGGAGTGCGCGCGAGATCTTGCGTGGAATGAGGGAGGCGCAGCAGAGGGCACCAGAGGATAAGACCGAGCGTTGCGGGTCGGAGACCCAACAACAGAGGGGGGAGGGGGAGAGGATGGAGGAGTTAGCAATTGGTTTAGAGGCAGTGCACCTCTCGGTCGAGAATGATGAACAGGAGGAGCAGGGGCAGGGTATGGACATGAGGCAGGGCAGTCCGAATGTCGTAGGCGAATCAGAGGATGAGGTCCTGAGAGCGGAACGCGATAATAGGGTGGTGTATCAGAGGCGGGAGACAAGAACAAAGAAGAAGTATGATCAGGAGCGGGAAGCACGCGAGGAGGGAGAGGCGAAGCGGAGGGTGGAACAGAAGCGTGTGAGGCTCGAGGACCAGGAGCGAGAGGTGAGTGCGATGGAGGGGGACAGGGAGAGTGAGGAACGCGAACGCAAGAGGGAGGAAGAGCGGAAGAGGGAGGAGGCGAGGAAGGTGTGGCGCGAAAAGGAAGAGAAGCGGCAGAGGGAGGAGGAAGAGCGGAAGAGGGAGGAAAAAAGGCAGGCTGAGCGCGAAAAGGAGGAGAAGCGGCAGAAGGATGAAGAGCGGAAGAGGGAGGAGGAAAGGCAGGCAGAGCGCGAACAAGAGGAGAAGCGGCAGAGGGAGGAGGAAGAGCGCAAAAAGGAGGAAAGGCAGGCTGAGCGCGAACAGGAGGAGAGGCGGCAGAGGGAGGAGGAAGAGCGGAAGAGGGAGGAGGAGAAAAAGGCTGAGCGCGAAAAGGAGTCGAAGCGGCAGAAGGATGAGGTGGAGCGGAAGAGGGAGGAGGCGAGGAAGGCGGAACGCGAAAAGGAGGAGAAGCGGCAGAAGGAGGAGGAGGAGGTGAAGAGGGAGGAGGCGCGGAAGGCCGAACGCGAAAAGGAACATAACCGGCAGAAGGAGGAGGAGGAGGAGAGGAAGAGGGAGGAGGCGAGGAAGGCGGAACGCGAAAAGGAGGAGAAGCGGCAGAAGGAGGAGGAGGAGCGGAAGAGGGAGGAGGCGAGGAAGGCGGAACGCGAAAAGGAGGAGAAGCGGCAGAAGGAGGAGGAACGGAAGAGGGAGGAGGCAAGAAAGGCAAAACGCGAAAAGGAAGATAAGCGGCAGAAGGAGGAGGAGCGGAAGAGGGAGGAGGCGAGACAGGTAGAACGCGAAAAGGAGGAGCAGCGGCAGAAGGATGAGGAGGAGCGAAAGAGGGAGGAGGCGAGGAGGGCAGAACGCGAAAAGGAGCAGAAGCGGCAGGAGGATGAGGAGGAGCGGAAGAGGGAGGAGGCGAGGAAGGCGGAACGCGAAAAGGAGGAGAAGCGGCAGAAGGAGGAGGAGGAGCGGAAGAGGGAGGAGGCGAGGAAGGCGGAACGCGAAAAGGAGCAGAAGAGGCAGGAGGAGGAGGAGGAGCAGAAGAGGGAGGAGGCGAGGAAGGCGGAACGCGAAAAGGAGGAGAAGCGGCAGAAGGAGGAGGAGGAGCGGAAGAGGGAGGAGGCGAGGAAGGCGGAACGCGAAAAGGAGGAGAAGCGGCAGAAGGAGGAGGAGGAGCGGAAGAGGGAGGAGGCGAGGAAGGCGGAACGCGAAAAGGAGCAGAAGAGGCAGGAGGAGGAGGAGCGGAAGAGGGAGGAGGCGAGGAAGGCGGAACGCGAAAAGGAGGAGAAGCGGCAGAAGGAGGAGGAGGAGCGGAAGAGGGAGGAGGCGAGGAAGGCGGAACGCGAAAAGGAGGAGAAGCGGCAGAAGGAGGATGAGGAAGAGCGGAAGAGAGAGGAGGCGAGGAAGGCGGAACGCGAAAAGGAGAAGAAGAGGCAGGAGGAGGAGCAGAAGAGGGAGGAGGCTAGGAAGGCGGAACGCGAAAAAGAGGAGAAGCGGCAGAAGAATAAGGAGCGGAAGAGGGAGGAGGCGAGGAAGGCGGAACGCGAAAAGGAGGAGAAGCGGCAGAAGGAGGAGGAGGAGCGGAAGAGGGAGGAGGCGAGGAAGGCGGAACGCGAAAAGGAGCAGAAGAGGGAGGAGGAGGAGGAGGAGCAGAAGAGGGAGGAGGCTAGGAAAGCGGAACGCGAAAAAGAGGAGAAGCGGCAGAAGGATGAGGAGGAGCGGAAGACGGAGGAGGCGAGGAAGGCTGAACGCGAAAAGAAGCAGAAGCGGCAGGAGGATGAGGAGGAGCGGAAGAGGGAGGAGGCGAGGAAGGCGGAACGCGAAAAGGAGCAGAAGAGGCAGGAGGAGGAGGAGCGGAAGAGGGAGGAGGCGAGGAAGGCGGAACGCGAAAAGGAGGAGAAGCGGCAGAAGGAGGAGGAGGAGCGGAAGAGGGAGGAGGCGAGGAAGGCGGAACGCGAAAAGGAGGAGAAGCGGAAGAGGGATGAGGAGGAGCGGAAGAGGGAGGAGGCGAGGAAGGCGGAACGCGAAAAGGCGGGGAAGATTGTGGAGGCCAACGAGCGAGAAACGCGCGAGGAGGCGAGGGTGGAGGAGCGAGAGCGACAGAGGCAGGTCGGTGAGACCGGGGAACGAGAATCGCGTGAAAGGGAGGAAGCGCGGCAGAGGCAGGATCGGGAACGAAAGAGAACTGAAAGCGAACGCAGAAGAAAAGAGCTTCAGAGGCTCGAGCGCGAAAGGTTTGTGGCGAGGCAGACGGAGCAAGCGGGTGTGCATCAGGGTGTGGAGCGTCCGAGGGATCGACCTGTAGAGAACGAGCACCGTGGGATGGGGGGCGCTACACAGAGGCAGGAAAGGCAGAGGGAGGTTGCTGGGTTGAATGAGCAAGGTGCTGGGGGGCAGCGGCATGTGGCTGAGGGCCAGAGGGGCGCGAGGTTCTTCTCAATGCAGTTGGGGCGGGATGTAGGGGATGGAGCTCGGCAAGTGGTGGTTGGCGACCAGCCAACCCTGGGGCATCACGGAACAACTGTTGGTCGGGCAGCGGATGTTGGTTTACCGGGATTGAGAACAGGCGGACCGAGGCCGATGATGCAGCGGGAAGGTGGCCGGCGTGATGATCAAACAGCCCGGAACAGGGTCTGCGCGGGAGACCATAGGAGGTTCGATCAGTCAAGGCAAGCTGGTAGGCGAGAGGGTGAAGCGATTGGAACGCGGCAGGGTGAGCGAATGGCGGAGGATCAGGTCTGGCGTGGGGTGGGATGGGGAATGGAAGGAGTGCGACACAGGGAGTTTCAGCAGAGAGAGGCCTGTAGTGGGTTAGCCTATAGGGGGGTCACAACATTAGGGTTTCATATTTGTACTCACAATCCTTTCTAGTTCACCATTCCAGTCCGTTATTACTGACATGGTTTCAGAGCAGGTCCGTCGCTAGGACTGTTCTTAGGGCCCACCTACCTACCTACCTACCTACTGTGCGCCTCGTGCGCCTGCGCGTCCTAGAGCGCTCCTTACCTACCTACCACGCGCACGCAGCTCGCTAGCCGCCCGCGCGTGGCTTTCCTTTTTTTTTTTTACCGCGCGCGCCGTACTAGCCGCTCGCGCGCGGCCGTTTTCACGCGTGCGCCCCGCCAGCTGCCCGCGCGCGCTTTATTTTCTTCGCGCGCGGCCCGTCACGCTGCCTCCCCGCTGCCCGCGCGCCTTTGCGCTGCTGCCCGTGCGCCTCGTAGCCTCGCGCACTGCCCGCCGCTGCCCTGTGCGCCACGCTGACGCACCCGCTGCTGCAGCCGCCCGTCGCCTGCTCGCGCACGCCCCGCAGGCCCGCAGCCCGCCGTCGCAGAGGCCGCCCGTCCGCAGCCGCCCGTCGCCTGCTCGCGCACGCCCCGCAGCCGCCCGTCGCCTGCTCGCGCACGCCCCGCAGCCGCCCGTCGCCTGCTCGCGCACGCCCCGCTGCCCGCAGCCCGCCGTCGCAGAGGCCGCCCGTCCGCAGCCGCCCGTCGCCTGCTCGCGCACGCCCCGCAGCCGCCCGTCGCCTGCTCGCGCACGCCCCGCTGCCCGCAGCCCGCCGTCGCAGAGGCCGCCCGTCCGCAGCCGCCCGTCGCCTGCTCGCGCACGCCCCGCAGCCGCCCGTCGCCTGCTCGCGCACGCCCCGCAGCCGCCCGTCGCCTGCTCGCGCACGCCCCGCAGCCGCCCGTCGCCTGCTCGCGCACGCCCCGCTGCCCGCAGCCCGCGGTCGCAGAGGCCGCCCGTCCGCAGCCGCCCGTCGCCTGCTCGCGCACGCCCCGCAGCCGCCCGTCGCCTGCTCGCGCACGCCCCGCAGCCGCCCGTCGCCTGCTCGCGCACGCCCCGCTGCCCGCAGCCCGCCGTCGCAGAGGCCGCCCGTCCGCAGCCGCCCGTCGCCTGCTCGTGCACGCCCCGCAGCCGCCCGTCGCCTGCTCGCGCACGCCCCGCAGCCGCCCGTCGCCTGCTCGCGCACGCCCCGCAGCCGCCCGTCGCCTGCTCGCGCACGCCCCGCTGCCCGCAGCCCGCGGTCGCAGAGGCCGCCCGTCCGCAGCCGCCCGTCGCCTGCTCGCGCACGCCCCGCAGCCGCCCGTCGCCTGCTCGCGCACGCCCCGCAGCCGCCCGTCGCCTGCTCGCGCACGCCCCGCTGCCCGCAGCCGCCCGTGCGCCGCTGCCACTGCCGCACGTGCGCATACGCAGCTGCCGCCCGTGCGCTGCTTCCGCTGCTGCTTGCGCACCGCCGCCTCCTGCCGTCGCCGCACGTGCACTGCTGCCGCCCGTGCGCCGCCGCTGCCCGTGCGCCGCCGCTGCCCCTACGCTACCTACCGCGCACACTGCTGCCACTGCAGCTGCCACCAGTGCGCCGTTGCAGCTCCTGCTGCCACGCTCCCTACTCCTGCCGCTCGTGTGCCACTACGGACAGTCGACCCCGCCCGCGCCTTACCTAGCGGCCCCGCCGGTCCCGTTGACCCTACGCACACCTTTCCAGCGGCCTAGTTCCTCCTCCTACTACTGTCACTATGGCTAGTCCTCCCGTTCTAGCTTTCGATGCCGAGGGCCGTCCGGTGAAGTTCGAAACCTGGCTAGATGACCTGCACCTGTTCCTACAGCTCACAGCCAAGGAAGACGTCTCGCTGTACGACCATGCCCTAGGCCATGCTACTGCCCCTGACACGTCTGCTGACAGCACTCTACGCTCTCAGTGGCAGACTCGTGATGCGCACGCTCGCTTTGCTATTCGCAACTCCCTGCCGCTAGACGAGCGCGAGCACTTCGGCCAGTGCAAGACTGCTAAGGACCTCTACACCGCTGTAGTTGCCCGCTACTCCTCACCCGCTTCTGCTACGCTAGGCCGCCTCACTCTCCCCTACCTGTTCCCCGACCTAGCCTCCTTTCACACTGTCGCAGACCTCATCACCCACCTTAAGACTAGTGAGGCCCGCTTTCGCGCTGCTATGCCTGCCGAGTTTCTCACTAGCAACCCCCCCCCCGCTCTGGATCACTCTCTACCACATCGTCACCCGCCTCCCTGACTCTCTGCGTGCAGTCAGGGACCACTTCCTCTCTCGCTCCCCCACTGAGCTCACTGTTGCCCTCCTCGAGAAGGAACTGCTTGCAGCTGAGGCGAGCATCGTCGCTGTAGGCACCTCTCGTGGCGACCCCCGCACCCCGTTCTTCGAGGGGTGTTCCCCTTCCCCCCTCCTCCCCTCTGTCGCCTCTGCTGCTGCTGTCGACCTCCTTGGTGCTGAGAAGGTCGGGACCGCGTCTGCTTCGAGCGGGCGCCGCAGGAGCAAGGGAGGCAGGGGTGGGGGTGGTGGCGGAGGAGGTGGGGGTGGAGGCGGTGGGAGTGGAGGCGCGACTGGGGAGGCTAGTGGCGGCAGTGGGGGAGGAGACAGCAGCGGCGGGAGCGGTGGCAGGGGTGGAGGCGGCAGCGGAGGTGGAGGTGGTCGTGGCGGCGGCAGGGGTGGAGGTGGCCGAGGCGGTGGTGGTGGCGGTGGTGGTCGTGGAGGCACTGGCGGAGGCCCGAGTCAGCAGCCCGCCCCGACGCTTCAGGCCGCCCGTGAGTGGTATGCGCAGCGTGGCTTTACCTGCACGTACGTCATTCGCACAGGTGACCGCAGAGGCCAGCAGTGTGGGAGGCCGCACCCCACGCACCGCTGCTTCGCGCGCCTTAACGACGCGTGGCGCACCCAGTTTCCCGATGCCGCTGAGCTGCCGCGCTGGGCTGATCTGGAAAAGAGGGGTGTCGATATTTGGGCTCTAGACTTTGATGCTATTCTCACTGCCATGTATGCCATGTCTATTAGTGGAGAGGGTGCTCAGTACTTGCGTGTTCCGCCCGACCCGGGCATTCAGGCCAGTCCGGCTGCCGCTCTAGGTGCTAGTGCGTCTGCTCCCACAGGTCCTGGTGAGGCTGCTGCCCTAGGTGCTAGTGCGTCCGTGCCCCCTGGTACTGGGTTGACTGCAGCACTGCACACCTTCACACTGGACTCAGGTGCCTCTCGCTCTTTCTTTCGTGACCGCACTGTCCTTGAGCCACTCGCTCGGCCAGTTGCTGTCTCCCTTGCTGACCCCTCTGGGGGTCCGATCATTGCGACCTCCTCCACTGTTCTTCCTTGTCCTGCGGTCCCGTCCGGCACGCTTTCAGGTCTCTACCTCCCCTCGTTCTCTACGAACTTGGTGGCGGGTTGTGCGCTCCAGGACTCGGGTGTTCACCAGTTCACCCCTGCCTACGAGCGCGTGACACACTGCACGTGTGCTCGGACGGGTCGCCACCTGGCTACTTTCACTCGAGAGCCGGGGTCGGACCTGTACACACTGACCACTGAGTCCCCTCAGGTAGCTGCATCTGCGTCTACGTCTGCGTCTACGTCTGGTCAGCTGTCCGCCCCCTGCTCGTGTCGCTCTCTGGCGCATGAGACTGTCCTTTGGCACCACCGCCTTGGTCACCCGTCTGTGCAGCGCCTTCGGGCCATGCACAAACGGGACCTTGTTGCTGGTCTTCCCAGGGTGCTCCCTCCCCTTCCCGACTCGCCTGCTCCTCCCTGTATTCCCTGTGTCGAGGGGCGGCAGCGCGCCGCTCCTCACTCCTCCTCCTTTCCCCCGACGACTGCTCCCTTGCAGACGCTCCACTTGGACGTGTGGGGCCCAGCCCGCGTCCGTGGACAGGGTCAGGAGCGGTACTTCCTGCTCGTTGTTGACGACTTCTCGCGCTACACCACGGTCTTCCCCTTGCACGCCAAGGGTGACGTACCTGATGTCTTGATCCCTTGGATCCGCAGATCTCGTCTCCAGCTCACCAGGCGTTTCCGCTCCGACTTTCCTGTCCTGCGTCTGCACTCTGACAGAGGTGGGGAGTTTTCCTCTGGCCTCCTGGAGGCCTTCTGTCAGCAGGAGGGCATTGAGCAGTCGTTCACGCTTCCGGCCTCTCCACAGCAGAATGGGGTTGCTGAGCGCCGCATTGGTCTAGTCATGGAGGTCGCTCGTACCTCCTTGAGTCATGCGGCTGCCCCCCATTTTCTGTGGCCGTTTGCGGTCCGATACGCTGCGCATCAGCTCAACCTCTTGCCCCGTGTCTCCTTGCCCGAGACTTCCCCGACACTGCGTTGGACGGGAGAGGCTGGCGATGCGTCGCGTTTTCGGGTCTGGGGATCCCGAGCTTTTGTCCGCGACACGTCCGCGGACAAGCTCTCCCGTCGCGCTGTCCCTTGCGTCTTCCTTGGCTTTGTCCCGGACGCCCCTGGTTGGCAGTTCTACCACCCCACCTCGCGTCGTGTCCTGGCCTCTCAGGACGTCACTTTTGACGAGTCCGTCCCCTACTACCGCCTCTTCCCCTACCGCACTGCCCCGCTCCCCCCCCCGCCTCTCTTCCTCGCTCCAGGTGCTGAGGTACCAGACCCCCTCCCCCCTCAGGGTGCCGCTCCCTCAGGTGTGTCCCAGGTAGACCCGGGTGAGCCTGTCGAGGTAGCTGTTGACTCTCGTCCTGCGTCTGGGGGTGCTGAGCCTGGGGGTGCTGAGTCTGGGGGTGCGGAGCCTGGGGGTGTTGAGCCTGGAGGTGCGGAGCCTGGCGGTGCGGAGCCTGGAGGTGCTGAGTCTGGGGGTGCTGAGTCTGGGGGTGCTGAGACTGAGCGTGCTACACCTGGAGGAGCCCTCTCCTCCCAGCAGCTGCAGGAGAGGTACCTCGAGTACTGCCGCCTCCGGAGAGGTGCTGCTGGAGCTCGTCCCGGTACTTCCCCTCCTACCCAGGAGCTCCCCCCCATTCAGCAGATCCGAGAGTGGTACACACGCCGCTGCAGTCTTCGGAGTGGTCCTCCGGGTGCTGAGGACCCGAGCGGTGGCGCTGCTGCTTGTGCTGAGGACCCGGGCGCTGGAGCTGCTGCTGGTGCTGAGGACCCGGGCGGTGGAGCTGCTGCTGGTGCTGAGGACTCGAGCGTTGGAGCTACTGCTGGAGCTGGGGACCCGAGCGGTGGAGCTGCTGCTGGAGCTGAGGACCCGGCTGGTGGAGTTCCTGCTGGTGCTGCGGACCCGAGCGGTGGCGCTGCTGCTGGTGCTGCGGACCCGAGCGTTGGAGCTACTGCTGGAGCTGAGGACCCGAGCGGTGGTGCTGCTGCTGGTGCTGAGGACCCGGCCGGTGGAGCTGCTGCTGGTGTTGAGGACCCGGACGTTGGAGCTGCTGCTGGTGCTGAGGACCCTGCCGCTGGTGTCTCTGCTGGTTCTGGAGACGCTACGCGGCCCCGACCGTACTTCGTACCACTTCTTCAGCAGGTTCTTGGTCAGGCTCCTCCTCCCTGTCCTCCTCCCTCCGTAGAGTGTCCTCCGCCTGTCCAGCCGCAGTCACAGTTACCGCCTCCCTCGCCTCTCCCTGCTCCCTCTCCTTACACTGGTCCCACGGGAGGTCTTACAGAGCGTCGTGAGCCTGAGTCTCGTCCTGCGTCGCCTGTTCGTACTGCTCGCACTGGTCGTCGTGTCCCACGTGAGCATCCTCCTCCTGTCCCTGGCACTCACTACATGACTCTGCGTCCCTCCACTGCTCCTCAGCGTGTCCCGCTACCGTCTCCTCCTGCTTCCTCTCTGCCTACTCTTCCTGACCCGGAGTCTGACTCCCGTCGTGCTGCCAGTCCCACTGTCACCCGTCTCCTCGCTACTGTTGTCACTGACCCTACCTTTGAGTCCACCGCTGCGTCTTCTCTGGTCGCTGAGTTAGTTGACTTTGCTGCTGCCTGTCGTCTAGACTACGCCACTGGCCTTGTTGCTGAGTCTGAGTCTGAGTCTGTCTGTCCTCCGTCCGTCGGGGGTGAGTGTGCTCTTGGCACGGACGTCCTTGAGGACAGACAGGAGGAGTTCCAGTGCTTTGCTGCTGCTTTGCCCCACCTCGTGTCCATGCTAGTTGCCCCTGAGGGAGACCCGGATGCACCAGACATCCCGACCCCGTGCACTTACGCTGAGGCGATGGCGGGTCCCTACTCCTCTCAGTGGCAGACAGCCATGGACGCAGAGATGGCTTCCTGGAAGTCCACATGCACCTACGTCGACGAGGTTCCCCCACCTGGGGCGAACATCGTCAGTGGCATGTGGATTTTCAGGGTGAAGCGGCCACCGGGTTCTCCTCCTGTCTTCAAGGAGCGCTACGTGGCTCGAGGCTTCAGTCAGCGAGAGGGAGTTGACTTCTTTCAGACCTTCTCCCCCACCCCGAAGATGACCACTCTTCGGGTGCTGCTGCACATAGCCGCTCAGCGCGACTACGAGCTTCACTCACTTGACTTCAGCACTGCTTTCTTGCAGGGCAGCCTGCACGAGGAGATCTGGCTGCGCCGCCCTCCTGGCTTTACTGGGTCGGTTCCTCCTGGTACCTAGTGGAGGCTTCAGCGGCCGGTCTACGGTCTCCGCCAGGCACCGCGTGAGTGGCACGACACACTGAGGACGACACTTGCGGCTCTTGGGTTCGCTCCTTCTACTGCTGACCCGTCACTATTTCTACGCACAGACACCTCACTACCGCCGTTCTACATCCTCGTGTACGTCGACGACTTGGTCTTTGCCACTGCTGACACTGCGGCACTTGCCCACGTGAAGTCGGAGCTGCAGAGGAGACACACGTGCACAGACCTGGGTGAACTGACAAGCTATCTTGGCTTGCGGATCACCCGGGACAGAGCACGGCGCACCATCACCTTGACTCAGTCACACATGGTGCAGCAGATCCTTCAGCGCTTCCGCTTCACGTACTCCTCGCCTCAGTCCACTCCTCTGCCTACCGGTCACTCGCTCTCAGCTCTGCCTTCGGATGAGTCCGTAGAGCCGAGTGGCCCGTATCCAGAGCTTGTGGGCTGCCTCATGTACCTGATGACCTGCACTCGACCTGACCTTGCATACCCTCTTAGCATCCTTGCACGCTATGTCGCTCCTGGCCGTCACAGGAAGGAGCACATGGATGCCGCTAAGAGGGTGTTGCGCTACTTGTGCAGTACGTCGGGCATGGGGCTAGTGCTTGGAGGGCGAGACCGAGTTGTACTTACTGGACACTCAGACGCTTCTTGGGCGGACGACCAGGCTACTCAGCGGTCGTCTCAGGGTTACACCTTCAGCCTTGGCTCCGGCTCAGTTTCTTGGCGTTCTACACGCTCTTCTTCTGTTCTCAGCTCCAGTTGTGAGGCTGAGATCTACGCCACAGCCATGGCGGCCCAGGAGCTACGCTGGCTGACCTACCTGCTGACCGACTTGGGTGAGCGGCCTCGTTCTCCTCCAGTGCTGTACGTCGACAACCAGGCTGCCATTGCCTTGTGTGAGGAGCACAGACTGGAGCACAGAACGAAGCACATCGCCCTGCGGTACTTCCTTGCTCGAGAGCTGCAGCAGCGCGGTCAGCTTTGTCTGCGTTACGTGGCCACTGAGGCCAACCTTGCTGATGTGTTCACCAAGGCGCTTCCGCCTTGTGACCATCAGCGCTTCTGCACTCTGCTAGGCCTTGTGCCTACTGGACCTCACTTACTTACCTCTTGACCTTGCTTGTACTGTGATCACTATATATATATCTACCTGCATGTTTACTCTTGCTAGGTTGTGATCACTGTATCTCATGCTCTGTTATAAACCTGCATGTGAACTGGTCTTGTGACCACTAGCTTGTGCTCGGAATTTGTGTGGTATCCTTGAGATCCACCCTGAGCTTGTTGTTGCCTTGCTTTGCCTTGACTGGTCTTGTGACCCCTAGGTCTCCCCCACTTTGCCTATGGGGGTGTGTCAAACATTATATGTGTTGTGTTTGTGTAGGCTGTAGTGGGTTAGCCTATAGGGGGGTCACAACATTAGGGTTTCATATTTGTACTCACAATCCTTTCTAGTTCACCATTCCAGTCCGTTATTACTGACAAGGCGGGAGGACGTGCGGACGAGGAACTAGAGAGTGCGGCTAGTGCGCTCCCCATGCAGAGGCGGCATCCACGAGCGGCAGAGAATCCTGCTGCGGTGCAGGGAGAGGAACTAGAGGATGGTGAATGGGTGGCTGTGGAGGCGCTACTGGCGGGACTGGAGCAAGCGGGGCCGCAGGTTTTCGAGGAGACGGAGCGAGGATTTGAGGAGGCTGGCGACTGCATCGCAGCTGGCGGCAGGATGCATACCACAGCAGAGTTGATGCGGCGTCTGACCTTGGTGGCAAGGTCCGTGGCGAGGGCTTCGTCGGAGCAACGTGTTCGTTTCATCGACTGCATGGCAGAGATTCGAGAATTTGGTACGCAGATGCAAGCCTTGGACAGCCGCTACTTCCAGGACTACGATGATCTAACACACGAGTACCACGAGCTCAAGGCCGGGGTGGTCCGGGAACGCGACGAGCTAACCCAATTGCGTACTGCTCTTTCGGCTTCTGTCGCCGAAGCACGAGCGGCAGCAGCTGATGCGGGTCGCGCAGCTGCAGCAGCGGCTGTGGAAGCATTGGAGGAAAGGTTACAGGGGTTTTTCGAGAACTTACGGGAGAAGCTGAAGAGTGTGGTGGAGCAGGTGATAGAGAAATCGTCGCTAGAGGCCTCGTTCACATCCACCTCCATGGAACACCTGCAAGCGGCTATTGACAATAGTGTACTCGCAGTGTGGGAGGATCTCAGGGCTGCGGACGACCAAAATAATCTGACTTTCAACAAGATTCAGAAGGCTCTGGCAGGACTGTCAACAAAGCTCAAAGGGCTGACTGGACCCAGCAAGGTCCGAAAGCCACCCACCGCCAGGGGAGAGGCCACACCAAAGGCTTCGCGAAAGCAGCCCGAAGCAGATTCCCCAGACATCCCAATCTCCTCAGCACAACGAGTCATTGAAAGGTTTGCCGCAACGTCCGAGGATGAGGAGGGTGACGCTGGTGAGGCGGGTGAGACGGGCGCTGGTGTGGCAGATATTGACTTGTCTGAACCAGTGAGGAGAAACTGGAGAGAGACGTACGCAGCAAAGAACGTGCAGAAAGAGAGGGAGAAGGAGAGCGAAGAGAGGAGGACGGCTGAAGCGCGGAAGCGGCAAGCACTTCAGACGGCGCAAGTGACGGCTGCAAAGAAGAGGCGGGCTGAGAAGGGGTTGGGAAATACGAGGGTGGAGGACCGCCCTGGGACTGTCAGCAGGGGGAGAGTGACGGAAAACCAACCGGCGGGTACAGCTGCAGAGGCAAGGAAGGCAGAACGCGAAAAGGAGCAGAAGCGGCAGGAGGAGGAGCGGAAGAGGGAGGAGGCAAGGAAGGTAGAACGCGAAAAGGAGCTGAAGAGGCGAAAGGATGAGGAGGAGCGGAAGAGGGAGGAGGCAAGGAAAGCGGAACGCGGAAAGGAGTTGAAGCGGCAGAAGGATGAGGAGGCGCGGAAGAGGGAGGAGGCGAGGAAGGCGGAACGCGAAAAGGAGGAGAAGCGGCAGAAGGAGGAGGAGGAGCGGAAGAGGGAGGAGGCGAGGAAGGCGGAACGCGAAAAGGAGTTGAAGCGGCAGAAGGATGAGGAGGCGCGGAAGAGGGAGGAGGCGCGGAAGGCAGAACTCGAAAAGGAGCAGAAGCGGCAGGTGGAGGAGGAGCGAAAGAGGGAGGAGGCGAGGAAGGCAGAACGCGAAAAGGAGGAGAAGCGGCAGAAGGAGGAGGAGCGGAAGAGGGAGGAGGCGAGGAAGGCGGAACGCGAAAAGGAGGAGAAGCGGCAGAAGGAGGAGGAGGAGCGGAAGAGGGAGGAGGCGAGGAAGGCGGAACGCGAAAAGGAGGAGAAGCGGCAGAAGGAGGAGGAGGAGCGGAAGAGGGAGGAGGCGAGGAAGGCGGAACGCGAAAAGGAGTTGAAGCGGCAGAAGGATGAGGAGGCGCGGAAGAGGGAGGAGGCGCGGAAGGCAGAACTCGAAAAGGAGCAGAAGCGGCAGGAGGAGGAGGAGCGGAAGAGGGAGGAGGCGAGGAAGGCGGAACGCGAAAAGGAGGAGAAGCGGCAGAAGGAGGAGGAGGAGCGGAAGAGGGAGGAGGCGAGGAAGGCGGAACGCGAAAAGGAGGAGAAGCGGCAGAAGGAGGAGGAGGAGGAGGAGGAGCGGAAGAGGGAGGAGGCGAGGAAGGCGGAACGCGAAAAGGAGGAGAAGCGGCAGAAGGAGGAGCGAACGAGGGAGGAGGCGAGGAAGGCGAACGCGAAAAGGAGGAGAAGCGGCAGAAGGAGGAGGAGGAGCGGAAGAGGGAGGAGGCGAGGAAGGCGGAACGCGAAAAGGAGGAGAAGCGGCAGAAGGAGGAGGAGGAGCGGAAGAGGGAGGAGACGAGAAAGGCGGAACGCAAAAAGGAGGAGAAGCGGCAGAAGGAGGAGGAGGAGCGGAAGAGGGAGGAGGCGAGGAAGGCGGAACGCGAAAAGGAGGAGAAGCGGCAGAAGGAGGAGGAGGAGCGGAAGAGGGAGGAGGCGAGGAAGGCGGAACGCGAAAAGGAGGAGAAGCGGCAGAAGGAGGAGGAGGAGCGGAAGAGGGAGGAGGCGAGGAAGGCGGAACGCGAAAAGGAGGAGAAGCGGCAGAAGGAGGAGGAGGAGCGGAAGAGGGAGGAGGCGAGGAAGGCGGAACGCGAAAAGGAGGAGAAGCGGCAGAAGGAGGAGGAGGCGAAGGCGATGGAAAGGAGGCGGGCATAGAGGGAGGCGGAGTTAGAAGCTAAGCGCCAGCAGATTGCTAAGATTGCGGAAACAAAGCGGTTGGAGGCAGCAAAGCGAAAAAGAGACCTCGAAATAGAGCGTCGGAAAGCCCTGGAGGAGATCGAGCGTATTGCACGGTTAGAGGAAGCCGCAAAGGAGGAAGAGGAGAGGCAACAAATGGAGTTAGAGGCGGAAACAGAGAAAATGGAAAACGAGAGGCGACGGATTGCGGGGGAGGATGAGGAAGGGGCAGCGGGGCAACGGCAGGGAGGAGAGGCGGAAGAAGGGTGGGCCGGGATTCTTCAAGTGATTTCATTGGTTCCCGATGAACCGCTGCAAGTAGTTGACCTCGTGGGGGAGGTGGAGGGTTCGGAACATGTGACAGGCTCTGGAGGTCTAGAGACTCAACCGCCTTTGAAGAGGCTTCGCATTGACCAGACCGGAACGAACTTCGACGCGGATGAGGGGTCTTTGGGGGCTGCTGCGTCAGAGGAATGTGTCGGTGAAAATGTGTCGGGAAATCAGAACGTTCAACCAACGTTGGGGGAGGCGACGGGAGAGGTGGCACCGCGAAGAGCGGATGTGCTACCAGACGAGCTAGGGAAGCGGTGGGGGGAAACAAAGCATTTCAGATCGAGTGGTCTTACCACACGCGAGAAGAAGAACAAAAAGGGGGAAGTGGTGTACGTGCGCTACAACTCAGAGCAAACCGTCGGAGGTGTGAAGAGGAACATGGGGAGCTACAAGGAGCGGAAACTACGCGATTTCACAGTGGCCGTCTGTTGGATGGCCTACTTCCCCGACACCGACATGGCCCATTACGGCTTGGATCCTGCCGAGCTTGGCTTGTGGGCGGTCCACCTCGATTTCGCTCGTGAACTCCCGACGGGTGTCTGGAGTGTCATGAACGAATTGAACCTCGACAAGTTCGAGAAGTAAGTGTCTGGAGTGTCATGAACGAATTGAACCTCGACAAGTTCGAGAAGTAAGTACTCGATTCGGATTAGCTAGATCTAGTACACTTTCCCGTTTTGCCTTACTAAACGTGTACCCACCTCGCCTGTGCAGCTTCGAAAACGTCATGAACAAGACAAATGCACGGGTGAAGGACGGCGCACGTTTCCAGGTGGCCGTTTGCACAGGGATTGGACAGGCCCTGGTACACGGAGGGAGTGGGCTGGTGTCGCCCCCCGCGAATGTCACTCCCGCGGTCTATGCAGTGGGATTAGCTGCAACCCACTACACCTTGTGGTGTGCCTCGATCGGCATTCCCCACCAGGACTGGGCGGAGGGTGCGGATGAGGCGGCTCAACGAGGCAAGCCTTGCTAGTCGAGCAACCTCTACTGCTCGCCTCGGAGTGTGGACCTTGAAGGCCGTGAAGAACCTAACGCACGAGAAGGCGGATTGGGAAGTGGTGCTCACCAAGGCCATTCTCGGCCTTGTGGATCCCGAGCCCGGGGAGGCAGAGGCTATTGAAATGGCCAAGGTGGTTTCGAGGGTGCTGGTGTACTGGTGCGAGTGCTGTCACGCAAACCAGAGTCTTTACGCGTATCAGGGTGGGATGCTCCATTTTCCCCAGCCCACAAAAGGGGGACGGCGGAAGGGGAATGCGGGAGGCAACGAGTGATGCAGGATGGGGAGGGTAATTTCGAGTTTGCAGCAGCTCTGTACTATAGTCTGCTGAATGTTGTAGTTTTTGAGTTTTCATTGATTTGAACTTAAATCTGTTACATGCATTGTTTGACTCGAAAGCATGGCGTGAATAAGGACTTGAATGCTGTAGGGTTAGATCTCTGAACCACGGTGTTTCCTTAATTGCTTTTGAGGCTTTGTTTTCAAGTAACTAGCGTACTTAGGATTTCGATCGTGAACTTAACGCGTGACGAGAGTGCAACCCTCTTGCTTCTTAACGCAGATGGGAAATGCTTTGATATTCGACACATTCCCATGTTTTCGAGACATTCCCATGCTTAACATTGACGTTCCAATGACTAGTGTTACTCTAAAGGAGGATTTAGAATCTAGAACAGAAGAGAGGGAGGGCATCAAAGTTCCCTCTGGCGGCGCAGTGATTTCTTTTTGCATGCCATCATAGTTTGTTGCTAACCCTGATTTTCGAGAGATTCCTACGTTCCATTGACTATTGTGGCAGGTAACCATGTACTCCAAAGGGAGCCTGCTCATTCGAGTTTTGTTCGCGTATTTTTTCTATGCCGTCGCAGCACTGTTAACGACACCTGTTTTCGAGCACAATCCTCTTGGTACGATAGGCGAAGGTTACGATGTACGGTGGGTGTAAATTTTGTAGTGGAACTACATTCGATCCAACAATGATGTAACTCTAAAAGAGGTTTTAGATCAGAGGAAACTAAAAATAAGAAAAAGAGGGGTCAAAGTCAAGAGCAGAGCAGAAATGAGGTCCAAGATGAGGGAAGCGATCACGGAAGGAAGTCTCGGTAGCGTAAACTACTTCTTCAGTTTAGCCAGCTTCAACGGCTCCTCGATCTTGATCTTCTTCCAAACATCTTTCCCAAACATCTTCTCTCCCCACCCGTCACCCACCATCTGGGCGGCGAAGAGGAGGTACCCGACCTTGGTATCCCAGCTTCTGGTACTTTCGGGATGAGTTCAGCTTGTAGATCGCATCCTGCGGGAAAACGGACGAGGGTTTTCAGGCATTGTCAATGCTGTCGAAATATAAGGGCCGATCAGAGAACTGATGTACTCACAGCGGCTGCAGAGGTGCCTCTGGCTTCACGAAGTTCAATGCCAGCCTTGTGCATGATTGCCACTTTGATGGCCCATTTCTGGAAGAGATGGTGGCGGCAGAGCGGATTCATGTCCGTGTACGGGTGGCGCGGGCACTGGCATGGCCGTCTTGTACCGTCGAAAAGATGGTCGTGATCGGGGCAGTAGAACCACCACATAGCAAGGTCCTGTGCCACGATGTCTCGCCCAGGGTTTGCAAGAGCCTCCAAAAAACTTCTGCCAGAGTGGTGCGGCTTATCCGGATTCTCGCGGTTGTAATTATCGACCTGAGATGGTAGGACAGAGAAGACATTCAGCTCTGCCTAGCGCAACAACTTTAGACACTGCAAAAGGCTGGGTAATCAAGGGGTACCTTTGCCAAATCAGATTCGAGGCGCGGGAAGATGAACAGCTTGAAGAGGTCTTGCAACTGTTTCCACTCAGTGTCGTTGTCGAGTTTAGCGTGCGCTCTGCCGATGTAGTAATCTCCCGGCTCCCCACTGAATCCGGCCATCATCAAGACCGGCCAAAACGGAACGCCCACGACATAGGACTTTCGCATCTCGCCCTGCTCCCAGCCGCCGAGAGCGTTGATGTCGGGGTCGGGACAGCGATCGTCACTCAGGCCTTGGGCTCCCGATCGGCGAAACGCATGGGTCTTTTTGCTAATCCGCCAGGGCGGTCGCGCTACGTCGTTCATGACCCAATTAATCCAGTTGTTGTGAGTCACGTACGGAAGCTCTTCCTGCAGTTGTTCCCTTCCGTGCCTCAATGGGAAGAAAATGTGCTTCTTAGACCACTGAAGGGGGTCGCTGAAGTCCAGTGGCGGAATGATGTCCGCTCCGAATCGCAGTGGCACGAGGTCGTAGACGAAATGAATCCACAGAAAAAGACCACCAACACCGCAGAGCGCGAAGTTGATGTGCCGGGCCAAGAATTGGTGGGTCAGCCTGTTGGTCGCATTCGTCTTTGACTTTTGAGAGGCGAAAACCACCACAGGGAGATCCTTCTGGCGGTCGGGGACGGCCGTGCTGCTACGCGTGTGGCGGACAAACATGTTCGCGAATCGTAGAGCACGAATGCTGCATCCCCTCCCCAACATTTGGTGTGCGAGTTGAATCATCACCTGCACCGCAAAACACCGCCAGAGACTTTCTGATAGTGCAACCCTGGCTCTCTGGTAGCACTCTTTGATCTCCCTCAGAAAGTGCTTCTCGTGCAGGTCCGCGTACTGCTCCGACGTGTAGCAATCGTCCAGAGAGTTTCGGTGCTGATCCTTGCCCTCCCTGCATAGACCAACGTGAAACTTGCTTAGGCATCGAATTTTCGAGAATCTGTTTGGCCATGAAGTGTGTAAATACTCACGCAACCTGCTTGTCGTGCAGCTGTTTCAGCTTGAGCTTCATGTACTCCCGCGATTCGCCGATGTACTCATCTGCTTGGGCCTTCGGGTAGTCGTAGAGTCGAGCTTCAAGTCTACCCAGGAAGCCCAAAGCGCTCATCTTTGCCTTCATCATGCTCGGCGTACTAGGGATGGGCTCCTTTCCAGCCACCACTTCTTCGCCTCTCCGCATCATCTCGGCCTGCGCGGGGGTTTCCTCTGCCATGTACCGCAGGAACCTCTGAATCCTCCATCCAGTAACACGGGGCCCGTGGAGATAAACTTCATCCAAATCCACAGTTGACCACTCCGCCTTTTTGTCGTTCCCCAGATGGCTTCCAACCTCGTCAGGATTCAGCGGGTCCAGACGTTCCGCCGCCGGAACCTCAGTCTTGGGCAGCGTTGACATGAACATGATGACCCACCACTTGTAGTGCAGCCAATACAGGATGTAGTCTTTTCTGGTTTTCGCCGCGAGATAATCGTAGGGGACCTTTGCGCGGCGAATCCTGCTGGCCACGTCGGCCTGTTTTCGAACTGACTCGTGCGTAGCTGATGCTGGCCCATCTGCATTTCTCTGAGGCGTGGCCTGCGATGCTTGCCCCTCCGCATTTCCCTGTGGCGCAACCTGTGGTTCTTGTCCCTCAGCATTTCCCGCGGGCGCAGCCGACGATCCGACACCATGTGCACTTCCATGGGGCGATGCCTCTGATTCTGGGCCGTTCACATTGCCACGGGCCGGTTCCACAAAAAGAATTCGACAGGTGGCATTATCTTCAGAGGTTGGGCTTCGGCTAGCATTTTCCTCCCAATTCTCCTCAAACAACGCTCGGTGGGGGTCCTCGTCATCGTCCGCGAGATTAATGAACACCCCCCTCGGAATTCCGCCCCTCGGAAATCCGCCCTCAGCCACATTTCCCTCGACCCCGACTTCAGGGTTCGAGGCCGGAAATTCCTCCTGAGCATCCAGGAACACATCGCCCCCAACAGCTGCCTCGAATTCCCCGTCCGCATCGCGGTCCCCGATTAGATCAATCGGGGCATTGGGCAGTTGGCAGTCTGGAAGATCATGATACTCCTCATTGAGGTCGAAATCGAGAGCTGCGCTAAGAAAATTACCCGTACCGCCTTCGCCCGCCATCACGGTGTACCTGTTTCAGAGGACTCTATGCTCCACATGTGCGCGAAACCTGTCCTGAAAGGGTTATTTTCGACAAGCGAAATCTAAAACGCCTCGTCGGGAATGGGATGGACTGCCAGCAAGCCAAGGAGCATGTTGTGCTGAAAAGAGACTCGTGATCGGAGTTGTTACGGGGAGAATAAACTATGAATGTGACCCTTCTGAGTGGAGAACAATGATGATCTGAAATGGATGTTCAATTTAGAGTTCTTTAGTGTCTCGAAAATGCCCCCATTTTTTAGAGTAGAATAAAATTCTTCGCTGGCTCAACCCTCGGCGTGTGTGCAACTCTGAAAGAAGCAATCAATCATGCCATGCTGGATTGAAGGTATGGAAGCAAGGAGGGTGATGTTTTCCCCTAACATGTGTTAAAGTTTGAAGGAGGAATCAAGAAATGACATACAACGGGGAGCTATTTAAGCATTCTGGGACTCAGCCACATGAACATGAGCACCACAACCTCTGACTGCATCCCTTCTTCCCGCCACAGCTTCTCTAGATCTGGTCGCCAGACCCCAGATCTGGGGTCCTTCCCGCCTCTGTCAGAGCATTCGATTGGCTGGCTCCTCCACAATGGCGTAACTCTGAGCAACACCCCTCCCGCAGAGAACGAGTAACTCTGCCACGTGGAACACGGTCGGCGCGCAATGTAAAAGAATGTAAATACACTGGATTTTCAATTTAGTTTTATACACCGGTTGGTGTCGAGATGTGAGATTTTAAAAAACAAGCTTAAAGTGGCTTGGTTCATTTTACGAATCTGTTAAAAATACCATGTCGCGATCGAAAAATCCGGAAAAAAGCTGTCTCCTTGTGGTCCCGAAAGTTTATCACGTTTCCGAAATTTTTAATCAATTGTACTTAAAACCGTATTCATTAAAATAAACGACTACTACCCTATAACCTGGTGTATAAAAAACAGTCGTTTCTCATTATGACACCAAAACAGCTGTTGTTCGTGTTGATGGGTGGACGCAAACTGCAACTGTGTTCAATATGCAGTGTAGAAAACGTTTGTCGTTATTGAAAAAAACAATCTGCTCGTCTGTCTCTTAGCGAATGGCCAAGGTACATATTGCGTTTCATAATACTGAATTAGGCGGAGGAACGTGCAAATAACGAGCTTGCACCCATGCGGAAGTAGACGTAATCTAGTAAAACGTGTGCAGTTTACCAAATTTCACTGTAAACAAATGTCTAACACGAAGCTCAATATCGAGTTTCTCGATATTGCAGTTTTCACATACTGGTTGCGACGTGCTCGCAGAGATCACGTCGCAACCGTTTGCGCGAAAAGTGCACGTCAATTGACGGCTGCACTTTGACGTTGGCGAGAGCACGGGATTCGCCAGCTACATTGCACGCACGAATGTGCTCGGGCAGAGCACAGTTTCACGGGCAGGCCGAGCCTAGCCCTTGGGGCGGTGGCGGCTGTCCTACTCGGCGCAAGCTTGCGCCGCTTCCGCTTGGGTCGATTCCCAGCTCGACCCAAGCAGCTGGACCCACGTTTTTTCCCAGGCAAATCTGCTCGACCAGCGCCAAGAGCAATATAACTTCCCCTGCTTGGGTGCACTCTGAACAAAATCTTCTTGAGATGGTCCATGCCCGATATTTTCGGTGGATTCATCAGAGCAGGTTTCTCGAACCCCGTTCAAAGAGGCCGAGTGCGCCCCAGAGCGGTTCCATCGTCTCACCACTTTCAATCGGTTGTCACCTGACTAAACATTTATACATGAACTGTTCTGACCAGCACGCGCTCTGCAAGTTAGCTGGCTTGACTGATCGCAAGAACCATCCTGCCCGCGATCCGCAACCCCATCTGCTCTCCTTGCCCTGTTTGCTCCTTTATTGACACGCACTGTGCGGACAAATCTCTCCGCTAATTACGCTTTCGAAGAATAGGATAATGTGACGAAGGTCTCCGAATTGCATGTCATGGGATGTCGCTTCTTGGCGTAACGCGAACGAGTCGTATAGGCAATGTCGCGAGCACGCAGCAAAGACACACTGCAGGATCTCGTGTTCCGAGGTAGATCTTAAGTACACAATTGGCCATATATCCTTTTGGCCAGTGCCGTATCCCCTCGCATGTGTTGCTGTTAGTTCCCGATGCTTGCGCGTTCAAGGACGTCTCTACCGCGTGTTAAAATTGCCAGAAATTCATAAGAATTCTTGAAATTGCTCTCCCTCTCCCTTCCTCATCGCGATATTCCATGAAAAATCTCTGAAATTCCCCCCTAACCCCCCCTCTCCCCTCCTTCCATCCCCTCCCCTCCCTCCCTCCTCCTCACACAACCTCTCCTCCCCCTTACCCCGTCCTCACTTCTCTCCACCCCGTCGCAAAAATTGATGAGAATTCTCATGCAGTGCCAACCCCCAGCTTCGTCGGCGGGAAAACGAGAACTAAGCATGATCCCGCGTGGCGATTGCTTGTGTCTGATTCTACAGCAGCATCTTTGGGTAGAAGTAGAATGAGTGTGATACGTAACGTTTGGTGATTTTCATACGCTGTAGAGATTTCGCTTCCGCGCCAGGCCACATAGTCGCGACTCTGCTGGCGGGGCCGTCAATGGCGGCGTGGCTGTGCTGTCAATGGCGGCGTGGCTGTGCTGGTCGCGGCACTGCATTCCTCGCATCATAACGTATAGTTTCATTCCTTGCTTCCTCCCGACCTAATGCTCCCATGCCCACTGCAGGCTGCATCTCCGCGGTGCTGCTCGCGGCATGGGTGCTGGCGGGGGTGTCGATGGCGGCGTGGCTGTGCTACTCGCGGCACGGATCGTACCAGAACTTAGAGAGTTGATACAGTAGTTCCTCCCACTGCTTCCCCCCTGTCGCAGGCCGCATCTTCGCGGTTCTGCTGGCGGCATGGGTGCTGGCGGGGGTGTCCATGGCGGCGTGGCTGTGCTACTCGCAGCACTCCTCTTACCAAAACATAGAGTTCAACTCTTGAATCCTTCCACCTGCTTCCCCCCCTGCCCACTGCAGGCCGCATATTCGCGGTTCTCCTGGCGGCATGGGTGCTGGCGGGCGTGTCGATGGCGGCGTGGCTGTGCTACTCGCGGCACGCGGCGTACGAGAGCGAGCGGTGGAATCACCTCGACACGTGGTGCTACAAGCGCGCCAAGCTCTTCGAGCAGCAAGCGCTCACCACCGTCAGCCAGATTCATGTGAGCCATTCCCTTTCGCACAGCCGTGCGATGCTGGATTTTGGATTCTAGATAGCATGCTGGGTTGCATCCTAAATTGCATTCTGCCCTGGTTTTCTCTTTATGCTGGTTCATTTACTCACCTGTGATTTATCAACCCCTTTCTCACCCCCCGTTTCCCACCACCCGCGCAGACCTTTGCAGGGCTGGCGTCCGTGATGGGCAGGCCCAGAGAGCACGGGCAGTGGGCGTGGGATAAGTGCTTCACGCAGCAGCAACTAACTGCTGTCTCACACCATCCATTTCTCACCAACCGTTTCTCACCACCCGCGCAGACCTTTGCAGGGCTGGCGTCCGTGATGGGCAGGCCCAGAGAGCACGGGCAGTGGGCGTGGGATAAGTGCTTCACGCAGCAGCAACTAACTGCTGTCTCACACCATCCATTTCTCACCAACCGTTTCTCACCACCCGCGCAGACCTTTGCAGGGCTGGCGTCCGTGATGGGCAGGCCCAGAGAGCACGGGCAGTGGGCGTGGGATAAGTGCTTCACGCAGCAGCGGTGGGACGAGTACATTAACAAGACGGGTTATGCCCGCCCTGGGAACACTGGAGGAGCATTGTGCCTGTTTGTCACCGACAAAGAGAGGTGGGTGGGTATGTCGTAGGTCGATTGACCACCTTCAGCAGCGGTGGAGAGAGTATATCAACCAGACAAAGTAGTCACGGCCAAGGAACACTGGAGGAGTGTTTTGCCTGTTTGCACCGACAAGGAGAGGTGGGTGGGTGGGAGGGCTCTCGATGTGTTTTGGAGCACCCTACAAAGAACGGATTGTGGCAGGGCTCTTGATGTGTTTTGGTTAGTCTCGAATTAGGACCTTCGAAATCCAACCCTTGTAATCTGGGACCTGAATTAAACCATGTTCCATGTTCGGGCACAAGACCTCAGCTGCGGTTGAAGACCTCGCAGCCACCCTGTCATGCTTGGTTCAAGCGCTGCTGCACGACAACAAGAGAGTAGAGCAACAGCATGGAGCTGCTACCCACTCCAGCCGCTTACCAAGCCATTTTCACTCCTTGGTGGGTTTAGAGAGGAAATGTCAGTCGCTCGGAGCCGAAACTACACCTGAGTATGCGGAACGGCCCACCCAACACCTCTAATCATTTTCGCCTAATTCGCTCAACTACGTGCAAAAAGCTGCAAAAAAAACACCTTTTTTGCGCGTAGTCGAGCAAATGAGGCAAAAATGTTATGATGTGTTGGGGTGGGCTATTCCGCATCCTTCGGTATTGTTTCAGCTTTGGGCGAGCGACATTCCCCTTCCAAACTCACCAAAACCCACCAAGGGGTGGAAATAGCTTGGTAGGCGACTGGGGTGAGTAGCAGTTCTTTGCTGCTGCTGCTCTCCTCTGGTTGTCCTGCAGCAGCGCTTGAACCAAGCATGGCAGGGTTGGCTGCGAGGTCTTCAACGGGAGACCCTTGTCCAATGGGCATTTGACTTCGTAGCGTTAGCCCCAAGCCGGGGAATAGAGCGGAGTCTAGGCTTGACCAGACAAGGCGAGGTCGAATACTTATGTAGCCCACACTCAACTCCTTTTATCGCCCCCTCTTTAAAACGCCCCCCACGCCCCCTTCCCCCCACTCCCTTCTCGGTAGATGGATGAAGTTTTAAGTTGAATGTAGATCTGATCACGCCTCTAGAACAATCTTCCCACATCCAACAACTCCCTCTTTCTCAGGCCGGCGTTTGAGCGGCAGTACGGCGGGCCGATAGTGGACATGGCAGGGCAGCCGCAGCAGCGCCAGCCGCTCTACTGCCCCAAGCTGCTCGATATCAACTACTACCGCGGCTCCCTCCCTCTCACGGACCTCTACCTTTGAACAGGCTACTTCCGAACGAGGGTCCTTCTTGTTGGCGACTAGGTCTCTCCCCTTGAAAGGCCTCTATGATAGACTTCCCACGTCCCATGTGTTGTCCTGTCCTTCCCTCTGCAGGCCTGCCTTTGAGCAGCAGTACGGCGGGCCGATAGTGGACATGGCAGGGCAGCCGCAGCAGCGCCAGCCGCTCTACTGCCCCAAGCTGCTGGATATCAACTACTACCGCGGCTCCATCCCTCTCATGGATCTCGTGCAACGCCTGCCTGAGGAGTTGCCTCTGGTGAGGCGCACGGGGGACGTGGTGTTTGGAGCCGTTGTGCCGATCGGGAATCTCTCCTTCAACCTCACTGGCGTTCGTAAGTCGCATCGGCAGCATCATCATCTGCTGCTGCTGCTGCTTTTTTGTTTGTTTGTTTGTTTTGGTGTTTCTTCAGTCTGGGACCATATTAAGTAGTTTGAAGCATAGCATACCGTCAGTGCTCCTCATCCCACACATGTACATCTGGGGTTGAGCATTTGACATGGCGGGGCCAGGTCGACATGATGCATCTGACACGACTCGACATGATGCATCTGACACGACTCGACATGATGCATCTGACACGACTCGACATGATTCATCTGACACGACTCGACATGATGCATCTGACACGACTCGACATGATGCATCTGACACGACTCGACATGATGCATCTGACACGACTCGACATGATGCATCTGACACGACTCGACATGATGCATCTGACACGACTCGACATGATGCATCTGACACGACTCGACATGATGCATCTGACACGACTCGACATGATGCATCTGACACGACTCGACATGATGCATCTGACACGACTCGACATGATGCATCTGCTCGTTGAATTCCCAATCTAAAAACTTTCACTTCTCACCCCTGACTCTTTCGCTGGATCGTTAGCACAGAATGTCTAGTCCTGGTGCTTCCCTTCCCTTCCCTCTCCCTTCCCCCCTCCCCTCCTCCCCCCCACCTCCCCTCCACCTTTCCCTCCCCTTCTCCTCCCCCTCCCCCTCCCCTCTCCCCCCCCCCCCCCCTCTTGGATTCTTGTGTGCCAGCCGTTGTATTCCCCATCTTCTAGCATCCACTCTCACGGACCACAATCGGGCATGAGGCGGGGGAGGCGGTGATGGGGGCGGCAGGTTCGGTGGTTGACCTGGTGTCCATCATTCGAAACGTGCTTGAGAATGTGTTCAGCCCAGGTGAGAGTTGCTGCTTTCTTAGGCACCTCGTACGAGCCGGCGGGATCCATGAGGCGGGGGAGGCGGTGATGGGGGCGGCAGGTTCGGTGGTTGACCTGGTGTCCATCATTCGGAACGTGCTTGAGAATGTGTTCACCCCAGGTGAGAGTTGCTGCTTCCTAGAAACGTCAGAAGCAGATTTCCCATGTGTAGGCTGTAGCATCCACTTTTGTAGGAGCTGGCGAGTGCATGAGGCAGGGAAGACAGTGGTGGGGGGATGGAGGCGGCAGGCTCAGACTCAGTGGTGGATCTGGTGTCCATCATACACAATGTGCTCGAGAATGTGTTCACCCCAGGTGAGTCTCACGCAGGGAGGGACCGGCGCAGGTGAGGCTGGTGGGAGATCTCCAGGTGAGACGTCCAGGTTGCAAAAGAGAAAGGCACAAAAGAGCGGGTTTCAACGAGCAGGCTCGCTTTAAGGTTGCGTCGTTTCGGCCCCGAGCTCAGCCGAATATTGAGCCGACTCAGTAGTGAGCTCAGCCAGCTCGGGTCAGCTTTAGGTTAGATTGCGAGCCAGACATGATGGGGTCGAGCCATGGTTTTCCTGAGCAAGCGCCGGGACGATTTTTGAGTCAACTCTTGAGAATTCTAAAAAGAGATTCCCGATCAAGCGCCTGGTTGCGATCCGCGTAATGCTAGGCGTTTCTCCCCTCGTGTCGGCGCGACTTGTTGAGGTGCCGGGAATCCAACGAGCTAGGCCTGTCTCGTTGACACGATGCTGCCTGTACGTTTGATGCCTAAGGTACAATGGACACCACACCAATGCCCCCACCTCCCTTCCCATCTTGTAAGTTCTTTTCTTCCCGTCGCTTTTGGTTACCACTCTTCATCGCCACCCTTCCACCCCCACCCCTTGGTCTCTCTGCAGGCCCTTCGATCTCGTTTGAGGCGTATGACACCACAGACCCCAGTGCGCCCACCATGACTACGGCCGGGCCCAAGGCTCATCTTCTACAAGGAGAGGGACATCGCACCCTTCAATGCCCTTCATCACCGCTCCAAATCCCTTATTCCCACTCTCGTCCCCTTGTCACTGCTTTAAACCCCTCATTGCCGCTCTGCAGACCCCTCCATAACCTCTGAAGCGTATGACACGACTGAACCCAGTGCCCCCACCGTGATCTACGGGCCAGGCCAAGGCTGCTGTTCTACAAGGAGAGGGACATCGCACCTTTCACCGCCCCTCGTCACCACTTGAAACTTCTTATTCCCACTCTCAACCCCTTGTCACCGCTCTGCAGACCCCTCGATCACGTTTGAGGCGTATGACACCACAGACCCCAGTGCGCCCACGATGATCTACGGGCCGGGCCCAAGGCTGCTGTTCTACAAGGAGAGGGACATCGCACCCTTCACTGCCGCCTCGCCCCCCAATGCCACGCGCCCCTGGGAGCAGCGAGCCATCGTGCCTCTTGACCTGTTGGGCGGCCACCTGCGCCAGTACCAAGTCTGGTGCCGGTGAGTGCGGGGAGGAGTTTTCGGCCCAGCGTGCTATCAATTGGGTTAAAAGGGCATGTTTGATTGGCAGGTAGCACACCCGTAATCACCTAGGACGCACTTGTAGCCCTCCCACACATAGCTGAGGAATGATCCCAGTGCCCCACCAGCAATCTACCCTTCTCTGAGGTCGTATTCCCCTCACTTGAGGCTCGTTAGGCTGTTGGCGCTCACTGGAGCACGCTAGAGCTTGAAACCAAGACCTTTGGCTCTGATACCACTAGTTGGTCCAGTTTGCTACAGACTAGGTTAAAAGGGCGTCTTTAAGTGCTGTGCCACCTGCACTAGTACTACCAGGTCTGGTGCTGATGAGTAGGGATGAGCAAGGGGCGAACAGGAACGTGTTCGTGTTCGCCCCTGCACGAACGTGTTCGTGTTACCCCTGCACGAACACAGACGTTCGCCGAACCGAACACTATTCGGTTCGGCGAACACTTTTAGCAAAAAGGCGTGAAGGCGTGTCCGGGCGAACCTCGAACACGTTCGTGTTCGACGCAGGGCAAATTGCAGCAGCGGCCCAAACACGAACGTGTTCGGGCGAACCTCGAACACTTTTGTCACGATCACTTTAAGCTTCGAGGAGAACCAAACAGGTGTTCGTTTTTTTGCTCAAACCTACTGGTGAGTGGGGTTGTGTGCTGGTGGGGTTAGTCCCGGTGAGTGGCGGTATTGATCTTTCATACACTCGTTTCTTCTCTCAACTCGTACCTCGATTTCTTTTTCTTTTCTTTTTTTTCCTATTTCCATACCCGTTTCCTTTCCGCCAGCTACACCCAACCGACCAACGCATGGCAATCGTGGGGCGTGCCCTTCCTATGGGCGTTACTCGCTCTCGTGCTGACAGCCCTAGTAGCAGCCGTAGCCTGGCAGCAACGCGTGGGGTACCAGCGCAGCCAGGACGGATTGGCAAAGGCAGACATCGTCCGGGAGAGCGCATTAGCAGCGGAGCGGTCCAAGAGTCAATTCGTGGCGTCCATGTCTCACGAGCTGCGCACGCCCATGATTGGCATCATGGGGTTGTTAGACGCTCTAGCAGACATGGGGCTTAGTGGGGCTCAAACAACGGATGTGGAGGAGGCGCGAGCAACGGCGCAGGAGACGGTGCGGCTTGTGAACCGCGTGCTCGATCTGTCCAAGCTGGAGGCACGCAAGATGGCGCTCTGCTGTGGGGCATTCAACCCGCGAGATTGGTTGGAGACTGTTGTCCGGGAGAGCTACTGGAGGGCTCGCCAGAAGGGGATAGAGTGTGAGTGTGTGTGTGGGGGTCTGGACGGGCAGTGCACGAGGTTGTGAATGTGTGAATGGAGGGGGCAAGGTGACTGTTGAGTCAACTCAAAAGTTACTTTGTGTGTGGGGGTCTGGAAGGACAGTGTACAAGGTTGTGAATGTGTGAATGGTGGGCGAAAGACAGTGAGTGAGCAAGTATCGGGGCATGCTATGACATTCAGACCTTTCCCTTCTTTTACAATGCTGTTTGTCTGATTTCGTTGTTCTCCCCCAAATCTCATTCCCCCATGACTGGCAGTGGTGGGAGTGGTGGATGTGAACGTGCCTGTGGAGTTGGTGTGCGACACCATGCGGCTCACACAGGCGCTGCAAGAACTCCTAGGTGAGCTTGCTAACTCCCTTGTCCTCAACAAACAAAGAATTGGCTTAAAGCTTCAAATTCACTAGATCCCCACCTCATCAACAAGCATTGCCTTGCTAGCCCATTTCTAGTGTTGACGGGTATGGCCCTACCTCAGGCGCGCGGGTGGTGCAGCCAACTGCTTACAGAAATCGACACCGACTGCCCGTAGAAGTCGACGTTGGCTGCCCGCAGAAGTCGACACCGACTTAGGCAAGCAGGTCAACGAAGTTGGTCGACCTGCGTGGGACCACTGCGAAGCCGCCGACGAGGGAGATCGGAGGCCAACTTCGACCTGAGTGGTCAACGATGGAATTCGTCGACTTGAAGGGACGCCGATATGGGAAAGTCGGCGGACGGTGTCAACCAAGGCCGTAGACGAGCATGTGCAGCAGTCGGCGTACTTCTACCGCCTGCCAAGTCGACGACAACTTCAAAGCAACTCAGTCGACGAAGTTGTCTGGTTGACGAGGTTCTGTGGAGGTGTTGGTCGAGCAAATCTTGCTCGACGGGATGCGGTCGACATCGACGGCAGAGGGTGCTAGTCCACGAGCCCGTTGAGAGGTACTGGTCGGCCGTCGAGGAGCGTTGGTCGACAAGCTCTGCTCGATGAGCTCGTTTCGGCGAACGCTGTTTGACGGAGCATCGTCGAGCTGGTCGACGCAAGTTGCTTGACCGTGAAATCTGACTCGTGGCGAATGCCGCCCAGGAAGTTTTCGCGAAGTCGACCAGCGGAACGGCATCACATGCTTGACGGTGCATGGCTGGTGAAACCGTCGACACGCGTTCTACGTGGTACCTGCGTAATGTGCCTGGCGGTGCGACCGTCTATGTGCAGAAGTTCACCTGCGTCTGCAGTGTTAGCAGACGCGCGGTGCAACACTGGCAGGTCGCCCTGTTGCAGCGTTGGCAAGCTGCTATTCTGCTATGCTGGCAGAGTTCGCCCTGCAGAGGACTTGGATGCGTCATTATTCTCTGTTGTTCTTCTCAATTTGTTTTGTGTAACTCTTGCCAAACTTTGATGTGAGCACAACAAGTAGTGAGAACGCTTGTGCAACGCCACGATTACTCGCATATGCGTGCTTGTTTGAAAATCTCACTCCCATATGATGACTGCTGTGCCCACCGCTCCAGAGAACGCGCTTCAGCACACCACGGAAGGCCATGTGCTACTGCGAGTGGCTGTGTGCCCTGCCTCCATGCCTCTAGAGGACGCCCTCCTCCATATCAGTCAGTGCTCTCCCTCCATCACTCCTCTCTCCCTTCCCCACATGCATAGTGCGGGTTGCTCTTTCCACTTCTGGTGGAAATCTATAGTCATGCCTGCCTTCTCTTGTTCCGTGATCGTTGCTGCTCATTGCGTCTCCACCAATGTTTCTCTCTCACGCGTCGAGTCAATGGTGGAGTTGTTTGAAAGCTAACCCCTGCTCTTCCGTGCCTCTCAAACCCTGTTTCTCCGTCTTCTCTCGTTCAGACGCGTCAGATGCACCAATCCAGCCGTCCCCTCCCCCCAGCCCCTCTTTCTTCGCCCGAGCCACTCGCTTCGCCACCACCCTCACAACACAGTTCACCCAGAATCTCTTAAAGCCCTGGACTAAACGAGACGCTGCAGCACAGAGTGCAGCATTTGAAGGGCGAGCGGTAGTAGGAGCAGCGGACAAAGCAGCAGGGCAATTGCCATGGGAGAGGGAGTGGGTAAGGGAGGGTCTAGGAGGGAAGGGAGGAGGTGAGGGGTCTCTGGATGGTAGTGGATGCAGGGCGGACAGGGAGGAGGAGGGCTTGCCAATCCCTTTTGAAAATTCTCAAGAATCTCTTGCAGCACTGGGAGGGGAGTGCGTACAGCTGGTGGTAGCGTGTGAGGATACTGGGTGTGGCTTTGATGCGGCCTTTCAACAAGTCCTGTTTCAGTTCAAGGTGAGCGAGGTGACTGGAGCCGGCGCAAAACACGCTGTGTGAAGGAGGAGGGAGGCGTGGAGAGAGATTTGAAGAAGTGTTTTGAGACGTCTCAAAACACTTCTTCAAACACGTGGCTATTCTTCTGGTTCCTGTAGAGTTTTGTTGGCGTGGAAATTACCTTCCCGCTTACGTCGAAGGAAGGAGGAGGGAGGCGTGGAGAGCGATTTGAAGGAAGGAGGAGCTCATGCTGTGTCCTCTGACCTTTCTCCTGCTGCTGACTCACTGCTTATCCTCTTGCATCTTCCTGCCTACCTGGCTATGTTTCGGTCATGCAGGGACGGACGCAGAGTGGGGGAGCGGGATTGGGTCTAGCTCTCATGCACCAGCTGGTGAGTGCTTGTTTTTTGCAATTTATTTGTGAATCCCCTTCTTTGAGGCGCCTCAAAAAGAGTGGGGGAGCAGGATTGGGTCTTGCTCCCACGCACCACCTGGTGAGACCTCCCCTTCCATCTACGAATCATCTACGAATTTCCTACTGCCTCCTTCATATCCTCACTACTCTCTCCACCCTCTCTCCTCCACGTCCATCTCTCGCATTCTCTGTTGACTGGCCCAACCATGTTGTACCATCTGTCCTCTGGTAGATAGACGATTTTTGAGTCGACTCAAAACCGCGTGTAATGAGTCGAGTTTTGAGTCGACTCAAAACCGCGTGTAATGAGTCGAGTTTTGAGTCGACTCAAAACTCCCTCTGTCGACTGTCCCTACCATCTGACCTTCTCTGTCCTTCTCTCCCCCCACCCTCTCCCCAACCTCCCCTTTCCCGTCCCTTTTCTTCCCCCACCAGGTGACCCTCATGGGCGGGCATGTGGCCTGTTTGTCTCATCCCGGCATCGGCTCAACCTTCGCCTTCTCCCTCCCCTTCTCCTCGCCCCACTCGCCCCCCGCCGCTCCCACTGCCATTACTCACCCTCCCGCTCCTGAAACCCCCCACACTCATACTGCTCGTACTCTCGTGAAAGACGATGAGAGGGGAGGAGAGGAGGGGGAGGAGGGAGAAGCGGATGAAGTTGCAGCAGGGAATACGTGCGAATGTGGTGCAATTTTGGGTCATAAGAGCACACTGTATTGCTGCAGCAGGGGGGATGGGAGGGGTTCGCGGGCTGCTATGGGACTAAGTCAAGAAGAGGGGCGGACGGGGGAGAGGGAGGAATGGGAGGGGGAGCATGAGAGCGGAGCGGGGGAGATGTGGGGTTGTCGCACCCTTCTAAGGCTCAGGAATAGACCACGTGATAAAAGTGTACTTTGGAGACGTCTAAAAAATAGACCGGATCGTAGCAGCAGGGGGGAGGGGGACAGGGGAGGCTCAGAGAACACACTGGGCTGTAGCAGCAGGGGGGCAGAGGGACAGGGGCAGGGCGCGGGGAGGAAAAGGGAGAAGGAGGAGGGGACAGGGTGTGTGAGGAGCTTGAAGGGAGTGGCTGTTGGTGTTTTGGGGAGTGACCCGTCCAGGCAAGAGGTGAGTGGGGGGATGCTTGAGTTAACTGAAGAAAACTTGTTTCATCACACGCAAATGTGAGAGGGACGGGATGGGGTGGATGAGGGAGGGGCCTGGAGGAATTGGTTTTTGTCGTTGTGGGGAGTGATGCGTACAGGCAAGCGGTGAGTAGAGGAAATGTTTGAGTCGACTCAACAATGCAATTTCATTGCATGGGGATTGGAGTGGGAGGAGGGGATGGGGTGTGCGAGGGGCTTTAAGGGGCTGACTGTTGGTATTGCGAAGGCACTACCTCTCACTCACAAGAGAGAGGGCACTGTCTCCCCCATCCCACTTCTTGCTGTCTCCTCTTCATATCCTCTCCGTATGAAATCCGCGAGCAGTGAGGTGCATTTTGAGGCGCCTCAAAATGCACCTCACTGCTTAGAGAAAGGGCACTGTCTCCCCCATCCCACTTCTTGCTGTCTCTTCTTCATCAATTGAAACACGCTCGCCCCATCCTCCCTTCTCCCTCCACCCTTTCGAGACGCTCCCTCTCCCGTCAGCTCACAGCATTGACTTGTGCGGCGCCTCAAAAGCCCTTCCCTCTTCTCCCCACACCCTCTTTAAACACTCGCTCCCCCATCAGCTCACAGCGCGAATCCTATCAGGACTCGGCGCACACGTGCACATACTGCCGTCCCAAGCAGCCGAAGCACTCGAAACTTCTCAAACGCCACTCACAGATGGAGTCTCGTCAGGCCTCGGCGCTTACGTGCACTTACTGCCGGCCCTAGTGGGCACCAGACATGGGGATTCCAATGGAGAAGCCAGTAGGGAAGAGCCGTTTCGGTCCCCACGCTCCCTTGACATGATTCATGTGGGAGGGGCAGTGGGGAGCAGCAGCAGGGAGTCTTTAGGAAAGGCTAGTGGTGGGAGGAGATTATTATCATCTCCCTGCCAGTCCCTCTCCACGAGTCATGCGGGGGAGGTGGTGGAGAGCGGTAACGGGGAGTTGGGAGGGTGGGTGATGAGCTGGTTCGGGGGGAAGAGGAGGAAGAGAGAGGGAGAAGGTGGGGAAAGGAGGGAGGGAAGGGAGGGAGAGGAGGTGAGGGAGAGCCGGCGTTGGGTGGTGGTGGTGGAGGAGGAGGATGTGTGGAAGGTGCAGTGTGCGGGAGAAGTGGGGGTAGCTTGTGATGGGGCATTGAGGAGGGTAGGAGGAGAGGTAGTTTGTAAGGGTGCAGGGGGGGAGAGCAGGGAGGCAGGGAGGTGGGATGCAGGAGGGCATGCGTGGGGTAAGAGAGCGCCTGTGGTTGCGCTGGTGCCAGAAGGGGCAAGCAGTTGGGAGGCAGCAGTGTGGCAGGCAGGCGTGCGGGTGGTGAGAAGGATGGAAGGGATGGGATGCGGTGCTCAGTGGTGGGTGTGGTTGTTATCTCAGCCTGCTTTCGAGGTGAGGTGGTGGAGGATGGGGATGAAGGGGAGAAAGAGGAGGAGGAAGAGGTGGAGGAGGAGAAGTTGGAGGAGAAGAGAACGGAAAAGGAGGGGGAGGAGGGGGGCGCAAGCAAAGAGGAAGAAGACGAAGAAGAGGAAGAAGAAGGGGAAGAAGAGGAGGACGGGGAGGAGAGGAGCGAGGTAGAGAGGAACGAGTTGCAAGAGATGGGAGTGGGAGATGAAGGGGTTATCACTCAAATGCACAGAGCACCTTTCTGCCCCTCGCAGCTGCTGCCACGTCCACTCATACCGCCTCATCAACCACATCTGCTGCATCTGCTGCCTCTGCTGCCTCTACTGTCTCTGCTGCCTCTACTGTCTCTGCTGCCTCTGCTGCCTCTGTCTCTGCCTGTGCCTCTGCCTCTGCCACATCTTTTACCCCTGCAGTATCTACTGTCTCTGCTGTCCCTGCTGTCTCTGCTTCCTCCGCCTCTGCTCCATGTGCCTCTGCTGCCATCGCTCCCCGGGTGGTTATCTGTCACCGCCCGCTGCTCTCTCACCGTCTGCTCCGCGCCATTCAGGTGAGCCCTGCTGCCATCAAGTTAGCCTTTAATGGTCAAATCAAACCACCATGTTTGCTGCTCCTCCTACTTGTTGCCTCCTGCTTCCCACTTCTTCCTTCGCTCAAACTGCTCTCTGGTGTTTTTAAGTCGGTTTCCCTTGCTCTTCTCCTGCTCTCGTCCTCACCCATACATGTCGGGCCCACCTCATTACCCTACGGCTTTGCTTGAGTCTCCCAAAGAAGCACCCTCCGTTTTGTCTTGATCACTATCACTTGCACCCTCACTCACCCCTCACCCACGCACCTCTCCTCCTCCCAGCTTGCAGCATTCGGTCGCACCCACGTCTCTGGAGGAGAGGCGAGGCCAGTTGACAAGGAGCGAGGTAGACACGAAGAGTGTGTTCCTGATGCATCTCAAGAAAAGGAGCGAGTCTGGCATGAAGCGTGTGAGACAAAGGAGAAGGGCGCAAAGTTGGTGGGGACGTGCTTGGGTGCGGTATGTAGTGATGAATCCAGCAGCGGAAGCAACAGCATTAGCAGTAGAAGAGGAGATATGGCAGCAGAAAGTGGTACGCTCGAAACAGCAGCAGCAGCAGAATCAACAGCAGCAACAGCAGCAGCAGCAGCAGCAGCAGCAGCAGCAGCAGCAAGCAGCAGCAGCAGCAGCAGCAGCAGCAGCAGCAGAGCAGCAGCAGCAGCAGCAGCAGGCAGAGCAGCAGCAGCAGCAGCAGCAGCAGCAGCAGCAGCAGCAGCAGCAGCACAGCAGCAGCAGCAGCAGCAGCAAGCAGCAGCAGCAGCAGCAGCAGCAGCAGCAGCAGCAGCAGCAGCAGCAGCAAGCAGCAGCAGCAGCAGCAAGCAGCAGCAGCAGCAGCAAAGCAGCAGCAGCGCAGCAGCAGCAGCAGCAGCAGCAGCAGCAGGCAGCAGCAGCAGCAGCAGCAGCAGCAGCACAGGCAGCAGCAGCAGCAGCAGCAGCAGCACAGCAGCAGCAGCAGCAGCAGCAGCAGCAGAGCAGGAGCAGCAGCAGCAGCAGCAGCAGCAGCAGCAGCAGCAGCAGGCAGCAGCAGCAGCAGCAGCAGCAGGCAGCAGCAGCAGCAGCAGCAGCAGCAGCAAGCAGCAGCAGCAGCAGCAGCAGCAAGCAGCAGCAGCAGCAGCAGCAGCAGCAGCAGCAGCAGCAGCAGCAGCAGCAGCAGCAGCAGCAGCAGCAGCACAGCAGCAGCAGCAGCACAGCAGCAGCAGCAGCGCAGCAGCAGCAGCAGCAGCAG